GCTTTGATTTTATAGTGTTATATACTGAAAGCAGGACGCTTGGTGCTCTTTTAAAAACTCAAATCTTAAAAACTCAAATTTCGTACTGTGAAAACCATTTCAGAATTTTTTTATGATAAATAAAAAGAAAAGTCAAAAGAATAGAGAACGCTAGTGTTAGAGGGTCATTTTTTTTAATAAAAAAGAAAACAAGTAGTCAGAATAGAAATAGAATAGAGAGTGCAAGTGTTAGAGGGCCAGATAAAGATGGAAGAGATGTGTCTTTAACCATTTCTTGAAGATGGCTCAGGACTCGGCTACTTGGATTGAGTTGGGCAGGTCATTCCACCAGGAGGGAACAGTTAAGGTCAAAGTGATTCTGTGCCTCTTTGGAATGATACTATACTGCACTGTTCACTCAAGGTTCCATATTTGGTGATTTGTTTTTTGATAAAAGTGATATTGTGACAGAAACTGATTGATTTGTGACATATACATTTGTCACAAAAATACATTTTTTTGGTACAGTGCCTAAACAAAATCTCACAGGAAACTACATTTTTGTGATGACTTCAAATTTTGAACATAGCTGGCGTAGACATATGGCTTCGATTTAATGGCAATTTTAGATTACAAAATATTTAGTACAATTTATTTTATGTAAAATAAAAAAATGTTTAGTACAGTAAGTTCTTTACAATAAATTTAAACTTCTATAACTTTTTTTTCAAACTTTCATTTTTTTTTTTTTTAATGCTTTAACTTCAGCATGGCTTTTAAAAAAAGAGACCAACCTAAGGTCTGTTTTTTCAGAGCATTCAAATGTTCAAAAAGGGGGTTGACGGTTAACAGGTTAAGGATTGAGCATTTGTAAGAAGCCGTCTCGGTGCCATTACTATAGGACGACGTGTAATCGATTCTGTATTTAATAAAAACACTTTGAGTACAGTGACTCATATGAACACAAAGTGTTTGTATCACACACAGTCTGCCTGCAGTATTCACGTTATGTGTTGATTTGATTGCTACATGGGTTTGCGGTCAGTGATATCACAGTGTGAAATTGTGTCTGTGGTCTCATATTTAAATTAGCCTCTAATCGTGTTTCGGTCTCTCTGTTAGAGCTCTGTGCGCTCTGGCCATGGTGCTGCTCAGTCCTGCCTTCACCATCCTCTACTGCGTCTTCATCTACCAGGAGCTCATCGAAGCACCCGTCAGCGAGGGCTGGATGCTCTTCCTCTCGGTCATCTCGCAGGGCATTCTTGATCACGCTCTCAACGGATCGCTCGTATATCCACTCTTAGCCCTTTTCATTTATCCCTGTTGGCTAATGTTCTGGAACATTCTGTTCTGGAATTAACCGTTCTCAGATGTCTTCAAATGGAGCTGTTTTTAAAATGAATCCCACTTTGTGCCAATCATGAAGAGTTATTGTCCGTCTGTGGGCATTATCTGCCGTTATGGATTGGCAGAAGGAAGGTCTAGGAGGATGTCAGGCCAGATAAAGAGGATTTAATGGTGTGGCTTCAACGGTAAGAGTACTTTGGTCCAAGTATTCAGTGTTTCAGTTTTGGGGAAGGGGTTTGCATGAAGACCTATGTAGGACAGAAATGAGGAATTATTATAAGAAAGCGGAAATGTTCCAATTCATTAGAAAAGAAATTCAATATTGTTACCAGATGTGTGGATTTAATGGTTCATTTTTTACCGTATAATGGAAAAGGCTTTGCATAGTTTGGCATTTTGAACTCTGGGGGACTGGAAGCTTATATTTAATATGGTTTGATACTGAAAATCGTACAAAAGGATTGTTTGTTTGTGAATTCAAATGAATTCAAAATGCAATTTAATTCTCTGTGCACATTACAAAAGGCAGAAACAAGATGATAACTCAACTTTAAAGAGTTTCCAAGACTTATTGTCTTCAATGCATTATATCAAATTTAATTTAATTTGTTTCAGGCAACACTGGATTTATATGCTCTGATGAGTTATGCACGTAGGTCTTTGATTATTAAATGTAATTAAAATAACATAACATTATGCTTATTTGTGTGCATTTATAGAAAGCCTTCCCACATCTCAAGTATTAATAAATGAATAATATGAATACAATTTTAATAAGCCTAATAAAACAGCAGTTTCAGTAGTAATACAAAATAAATTAATATCCAAATGTAATATTATATTATTGTATATTGTGGTCTATCTGTAATTTCTTTGAAAATATGACCTGTTGCGTGATATGACCTGAATAAATAAGCTTTCCATTGATGTATGGTTTGTTAAGCTAGGACAATATTTGGCCGAGATACAACTATTTGAAAATCTGGAATCTGAGGATGCAAAAAAATCTAAATATTGAGAAAATCATCTTTAAAGTTCAAATGAAGTTCTTAGCAATGCATATTACTAATCAAAAATTAAGTTTGGATATATTTACGGTAGGAAATTTACAAAATATCTTAAAACATGATCTTTACTTAATATCCTAATGATTTTTGGCATAAAAGGAAAATCGATAATTTTGAGCCATACAATGTATTGTTGGCTATTGCTACAAATATACCCCAGCGACTTAAGACTGCTTTTGTGGTCAAAGCGGCAAATGAATTGCAAGCGCCATCTGCCCGCTGCCAAACTCATCAGAGTTCAAAGTGGTTCAAATTCATGGTCCCAAAGCATGCATCGAAACTGACAAGGAGAGTTAGTCAAAAGCAACCTATCATGCAAACTGCATGCACCAGTCTGCCTGCTGCCTGAATCCTTAAGAGTCCGAAGTGTCTCAAATGCACAGCTGAACTGCTGTCGTCCAAAACGCCATGCAGCAGAGCTGACAAGCAGAAGCAGTGATGAGCAACGTTCACACAAATGTAATGTTTGGTAGCACTAGGCACCAAATCAATCACATGCACCAGTCTAACACAGCAGACAGAAACATATACAAGGCAAAGGAGGCTTACATATAGGGAGCTTCTGGACTACAGCACAAGCCCTCACGTGCCACTCCAACCAGAGAAAGCACTGCACATGCAGAGAGAACACGAGCCTCAAGTTCACACGCTCTGCTTGAATAGAAGCAGGTTTAAAGTGATTCTGAATATCATTCTAATCACATGTAAATACATACAAGAGCTCAGATTAAGCCACAGAAACAGCCTCCCGTGGCATGAAACGTTTTAAACACTCATGCATATTCAAACAATCACTGATGAAATGTAAATTCCTTGTAAGTTTAGATGCACTGTACATGTGTGCCTTACTTTAAGCTGATAATAATGACATGATGGGATGATAATCTTGCTGTAAAACTAGCTTTCAGCTATTATGCAGCTGGAACCAGCTTCCAGAAGAGATCAGATGTGCTTAAACATTAACCACATTTAAATCCAGACTCAAAACTCATCTGTTTAGCTGTGCATTTACTGAATGAGCACTGTGCTATGTCCGAACTGATTGCACTATATTTTATATATAATAATTTTCTATTTTAACTGTTTAAATTAATTTTAAATCAATTTTTAATTTTTTAATGATTATTTTACTTCCTTTTATGTAAAGCACTTTGAATTAACATTGTGTATAAATAAACTTGCCTTGCCTTTAAGTGTTGACATTTCCACAAAGCATCAAAGCAGTTATTAAAAAATGATGCACACTTCTCCCATACGGTTGTTTTTCAATTAATGAACAATGTTAAACATGCAGAAAGAAAACTAAAGATAAAAAATGCCACTGGGTTAATTTCAAGTATGAAAAGCCAGTGTAATTGCGAGCAAGCAAAGCAATAAATAAATAAGCATTTTTATAGATATGGATTTGCTAGACACAATAGTTTATAATAGGCTGCATTATTTCTTTTCTTTTGTTGAATGTTATGTTTTTGTACAATATCTCTAAACTCTCAAAGTTATGAGAGGTACTCATGCAGAATAAAACTTTTATATAAATTCAGTGCTTTTTTGGCAATGCTATGCTTGTTTAATTTGGCTGTGTTGCTAAAACGAACGTGTTTTTCACAGTTAATCTGTTCACAAATCTGTTCAGGAATGTAAAAAACGGAAAGCCCTTCGTTTGTGCTGTGGCAACAAAACCCGTCATGCTTGTGACCTCAGAAGTTACAAAACATACAAAAAGAAAACAAGCAGCACTGGCTTAAAATAGGCATACAAATAGATTTATTGCATAAGTATACAAGTCTTTTTTTCTCATTCTAAGAGAGAAGAAAACTTGCACCTGAAAGACTTATTTGGGACTCTTACATTAACATTTTTATTGCAATCAGCTGTCAGATGACATGAAGACTGAGAGCTCCCACACTTTTTATACAGTCACCATGTTTAAAGCATTGGTTTTGGCTGCTAGACTGATTTATTGTGGCTCTGTGAATTCATCGTTTGTTTTGTTTTGCCGCTGGCCTAACAATGTGCTGTTTGTCATGCCATAATATAGCTGGATTACACAGCATCTCTTCATCAAAGAGTATTTGGAATCAGTGGTTTGTTTGATTTATTTTGTTAGGCTGTTAAATTTCCCTGCCACAGACAGATTTGACAGTGTTAAATATAGAAAAAGAATATACTGACTTCTGTCATGCAACCCATTTAAAAAAAATAAATAATAATAATTATAATTTTTTTAATTTATTTTATATTCTCCTGAAAGATTTAAAACCCATGAGGAAATATTCTAAACCTCGGTTACTCGTGTGCATTATTATGAAAACTGCTGCATATGTTGTTATTAGCTGAATAAAGTCTTTGTTGGGTGTTTTGTCAGCTGATTTCTGTTTCTTACATTGTTCAATCACATTTTGTACACCTGATTGCATCACAGCTTTCAGCTGCGTGAAAATCTCAAATCCTATTTGAAGGAATGGCTATTGTAAAGGCAGCTCAGGCTCTTGTACAATGGGCTCGTTGTTTAGTAAATGCTGCCATTGGCTGTAACAGCGGTCAAAGTCAGAGTAAACCTGTGTAAGAGGATAGAGTATAAAACCCATAAACTTATGGCTCTGCTGACAAACCGACAAGAACAAGCCGAGTCACAGACGCTATCATGGTTAGCCGGTAAGCGACCTTCTTTTTATTCTTTCTTGTATAACACAAGCTTTATAATGCTTATGTTTTGGATTTATGATGTTTAAGTCATTGGGAACATGTCTGTAGTGATGTTGTAAATTGGCAAAATCTGTGTGCACTGATTCTCTCAGATTTTCCTTTCTGTGTATTTAAAAATTGGGTAGCACTTTATTTTAGAGTCTTGTTGCTCATGTACATACTATGTACTTATTATAGTAATTACAATAACTAGGCACTACCCCTAAACCTAACCCTACCCCATGTAGTTACCTTGTAGGTACACTGTAAGTACATGTAAGTGCACGTACTGTAAAATAGACTTTTCCCCTCACTTTTCAGTTTCGAGCACCCTGCTGGAGGCTATAAGAAAATCTTTGAGACTGTGGAGGAGCTAAACGAACCTCTTCCAGCAACCGTCACTGGTATTTTCCTCTGTTTTCATGACTTTTTGGCATATCTATTGACTGAAAATATTCTGGGGAAAAAAAGAGGAAAATGTAAATGTATCTTAATATCAACCACTCAAATTCCTTCCATAAAAAATGCTTTAGGAGGAAAAGACGATGTGCTTGTTTGACCTGACAAAAACCAAGCGGTTTTTCCCAAATAAACATTTATTTGTAACTGTGCACCTGCATTTTTTTTTTTATACATGTTTTTTTTTGGGGGGGGGTTCTAGATTTTCCAATAGTAAATGTGACCCTGGAGCACAAAACCAGTCATAAGGGTAAATTTGTTTTAATTGAGATTTATATATCTATCTGTAAGCTGAATAAATAAGCTTTCCATTGATGTATGGTTTGTTATGATAGGACAATATTTGGCCCAGATACAACTATTTGAAAATCTGGAATCTGAGGGTGCAAAAAAATCTAAATATTGAGAAAATCACCTTTAAAGTTGTCCAAATGAAGTTCTTAGCAATGCATATTACTAATCAAAAATTATGTTTTGATATATTTACAGTAGGAAATGTACAAAATATCTTCATGGAACATGATCTTTACTTAATATCCCAATGATTTTTGGCATAAAATAAAAATCTGTAATTTTTACCCATTTTTTTGGCTATTGCTACAAATATACCCCAGCGACTTAAGACTGCTTTTGTGCTCCAGGGTCACATATATACATTTTGGGATCAGAGTCTGGAAACAGCTTGAATTGCATTTAACCTGTTTTTGCAATTCAATTTTAATATTAAGTATATCATCATTTCCTGTGTATGGTTAATCAAGACGACACAAAAACACTTGTGTGTAATGTGCGTTGTTTGTAGGCTGCATCCCCTCGTTTATTAAAGGCAGTCTGCTCCGACTGGGCCCCGGTTTGTTCGAGGTCGGATCGGAGCCCTTCTACCATCTTTTCGATGGCCAGGCCCTCATGCACAAGTTTGATTTCAGCAATGGACAGGTCACGTATTTCCGCAAGTACGTCAAATAATCTTCACGTTATTGTGTTGTTTCCTGCTCCAGTTAAATCTTTAAAAGAAAATAATATAAAACTCATCAGTGTTATTTTGGTATCAAAATACTATTATATACTATTATATTATATAGTTTTTATAAATATTTTGAATCTGTTTTTATTTTTTTGTTGTTTTTCATTTCAATTTTAGTTGTTTAATAATCAAATAATATTTACGTTATTGTGCCGTTTCCTACTCCAGTTAACTCTTTAAAAGAAACTTATTAATATAAAACTTTTTGAAGTTTCTATTAATATTTGAATCCGTTTTTATCCATTTTAGTAAGAGTTTTAGTTAATTTGTTGTGTATTTATTTTTTCATTTTTTTCCTTTTATATTTTTATTTATTTATATTTTTTAGTTTTATTCACAAGTTTTATTTTTTGTAGGTTTTATTTTATTTTATGGTTTTAATTAATTTCATTTTAATTTTAGTTAATTTAGTATATCAACTTAAACTCAATTAAAATGAATATGTTGCTTTGGCAACTAGCTGAAATTAATTAGCATTTATTTATTTTTTTTATTTATTGTTATAGTTTTCATTTCAGTTTTAAGTTTAATTAATAACCCTGTTATCCTTGGCATTTTTTCTCACAGGTTTGTCAAAACAGATGCTTACGTTCGTGCTATGACAGAGAAAGTGTTGTAATTACTGAGTTTGGAACCTGTGCTTATTCAGATCCCTGCAAGAACATCTTCTCCAGGTTTGATTATTAATTGCTGTAATTCAGCATGCAGGGCATAATGCTTTGGTGCATCAGCATTTTCACATTTTGTCACTTTTGGCAGGTTCTTTACGTATTTCAAAGGCGTTGAGGTGACAGACAACTGCCTGGTAAATGTTTACCCTATTGGAGAGGATTTTTATGCCGTCACGGAGACTAATTTTATCACTAAAGTCAATGTGGAAACCTTGAAAAAGGTAAGACAAAGACTTACTTTGCATTGATTTAAAGGGGTCATATGGTGTTGCTAAAAATAACATTATTTTGTGTATTTGGTGTAATGAAATGTGTTTATGCGGTTTAAGTTTCAAAAAACGCATTATTTTCCACATACTGTACATTATTGTTTCTCCTCTATGCCCCGCCTTTTTGAAACGCTTTGATTTTTACAAAGCTCATCGTTCTGAAAAAGCGAGGTGTGCTATGATTGGCCAGCTATCCAGTGCATTGTGATTGGCCGAATACCTCAAGCGTGAGACGGAAATGTTACGCCCCTTACATACTGTGATGCCCTGTCCGGCCGGAGGACTCTTATCTTTTATAAAGAATATCTCTTTGGATTTGAGACTGACAACTTTACAGATTTTCTTTATGCACCAAGAGCTTGTAACACTTCAAAGAGAAAGGAAAAATTTAAATCGCATCATATGACCCCTTTAAATATTGTGTCGATCTTTCCAGCATTTTAAGAAATATTGCCTAATCATTTCAAAAGGTTGACATGTGTGACTATGTGAACATAAATGGAGTAACGGCTCATCCGCACATCGAGAAAGACGGTACGGTCTACAACATCGGAAACTGCATGGGGAAGGGAGCCGCACTGGCCTACAATATCATCCGAATCCCACCTAAACAGAAAGGTAAGTGGTCTTTCAGTCACTGAGCAATGTTTAATGAATGCTGGTTAAATGATAACTAATGCGTTTGGTTAAATGGTAACAAACTCTTTCAGACAAATCAGACCCCATTGAGAAATCCAAGGTGGTTGTGCAGTTCCCAAGTGCGGAAAGGTTTAAGCCATCCTATGTGCACAGGTAACTATGCATGCATGTATCTATTTAATCTCTATTGGCAGAGAAATTTAGAAAATATAGTGTCTAAAACATAATTTACTCAAGCGAGGACAGTATATTTTTCTATTTTTTATTTTTTACTTCATTCTGGCTTCCATACACTACACTAGGGATATATCGGTATCAAATTTTCATGTTGCGATTCATTGCTAATGCTTTTATCACGTGTACGGTATTATCACGATATTGAAATTTTGTTCCAAAAAAGTGTTCTCATAATACAGTATAACAGGTTTAATAACTTTTTTCTTATAACAAAAATAACTGAACATTTAAATACAATAAAGCAATACAGAAAAAAAAAACGTATAAAGCAAGAAAAAATTACACAGATTAAAGTGCAAAAGAATTATAAAGACCAATAGGTATCACTTTACAATAAGACCTCATTAGTTAACCTTAGTAAACTAATTAGCATTAACATTCACAATGAGCAATAGCTACATTTGCTACAGATGTTATTAATCTTTGTTTAAAAAAAAATACAACTCTTAGTTCATGTTAGCTCATTAAATAACACAGTTGTGTTATAACGTGTTTCAAAACACTTGCAAACAATATCTAGGGCATGTTGTAGTCCAGATTATAATGTAAAAAAGTTAAAAAAATAGCCTATTAAGTCTAAATATTTAAGTATTTGGTGCTGTGATGAACATCATAGCAAATAGACAAATCTGAATGGCTGTTTAAATCATTTAAATATGTTTCAGAAACAGAAAGTAGCCAGTAGCGCTTTGTTTACAGGGTTTCCGGGGTAACGGCTGCATTTCTGCTGTTTAGCGCCATCTGCTGTCAGAGAGTGAAAGTGCGCTTGTTTACATCAGAGTGCGCACGTGTCTTACACGCAGCATACAGCTGTGTTGTGCATTTTGACCAGTTGATGGGAAAAGTATTCTTAAAATGCATTCAAAATTCTGAATAATTTGTAATAAATAATTATTCTCTGTATTTTTAAGTGCCCACGATAACAATATCGTGCATATTTATTATCGTGATATATCGCATTACCGAATACCGGCACATGTCTACAATACACTGAAGAAAAAAAATTTAAATAAAGAAACGGTTTTCACTTAGCAATTGCTGGTAAATTTCACAATTAATCACAAAGAAATAGCAAGTAATAACTAATTAATGAATTACATGTGAAATTATGAAGTAGAACAAAACGAAATTGTATTTTCTTGTAAAACACACTCCAATACCTTTGTTTTATTTACAATTTCGAAAAATAATTTTTACAGTGTAAAATTATAATGATGTTTATGGTGAAACTGTACCTAGTTTTCATCAAATTCACCAAAAATCACACTTTGAAAAATAGTAAATAGTAACTTTTGTGAATAGCAAACAGATCAAAACAGTATTATCACAAAATTATGAGTTTAAAAAAAAACACATTACAATAATAAAACAATAAGTATGACAACATACTGTATGAGTATAAATTTTTAACATTTCTAACAGTATTAAACAAAACATAATTTTCACAAACTGTGAGTATGCAGTAATTACAACTTACCAAAGGTTATTTTATGGTTTTACTTTGTTAATAATAATAATATAAAGAAACCTTATTGTATAGCTCATATAAGTAAGTGATAATGTGTAGTCAGCTGCTCGTTGTCACAAAATAAACCTGCAATATTACACAGTAATGTGTGTTGCTCATATGCACGGTGTTTATTTAGTTTCATTTGGAACTTTTTCCATTAGCGGAGAAAGCATTTTGTAAATACTGTGTTTAAACAATATTACCTTCTTGTTGATGAAAGTTGTGTTTTATTGCTTAAATGCAGTGTGTGCAACATTTGGAGCCAGATCAACAGTCGATAAACCTTTTCCTCTCATGTCTTTCCCTTCCTAGTTTTGGGATGACAGAAAACTACTTTGTCTTTGTTGAGACGCCTGTTAAAATCCACCTGCTGAAGTTCCTGAGCGCCTGGAGTATCCGAGGATCCAACTATATGGACTGCTTTGAATCCGACGAGGAGAAAGGCGTATGTTCCTGTTTCTTCATTCCGATGATGCTAATGTTTCATGAGTAGAACAGTCAATGCCGTATGTGGCTTTTGCACCATAGATGTATGTTGTGTTCATTTCTACAGACTTGGATACACATTGCGAGGAAGCATCCAGGAGAATACATTGACTATAAATTCAGAACCGCTGCGATGGGTCTTTTCCATCACATCAACTGCTACGAGGACTCGGGCTTCATTGTTGTTGACCTGTGTGCCTGGAAAGGGTAAGTACTGTACGACACAATGATTTACTTACACTAAAGCAACTACATACAGTGATTTCTGAAATTCAAACTAGGCATGTTTCGTAGCTCAGGTGAAATCTCACTTGTGGTTTGGTTTATTTTGTAGCTGTTGTGCATTGCATCTACTACTATTATTATTAATAATTATAATGATGTTTGTGTTCAAGCTGAATATAGTTTTAATATAGTTCACACTATGAAAAATAGTAACTATTGCAAATAGCAAACCGATCAAAACAGTATTATAGCAAAATTATGACTTGTGACTATATGAGAATGTGAGAAATAAAATTGTATTTAACAGTTTTTTTTAGAATTTGCTTACTAGATTTAACTGTTATCTGTATACAGTAGTTACAACTTATCAAATGTGATTTTAAGTTTATGCTTTCAGAAATGGATCTATCCCTAGTAAGGCTTATTATTTGGCATTTTAGGCTCAAGTTGGAGCACAAAGTATGTGCTTTCTGCAAATGTAATTGTTTAGTTTATTTTTTTATATATATATATATTATTTATTCATATCAGAGCCTGATTAGAAGTCAGTGTACTATCAGAATGATTCTAAAACTGATATTTCAAACCGTCAAACCAATTTGCAACTGTAATTTCTGATGACTTTTATCAGGAATATTTAATAAGCATGGGTTAAGTTGTGCATATATTATTATTTATCACCATTGTAATCATTTACATTTAACAACTGGTTTCAGGTGATATAATTTGTATAATAAGGTCATTTTTTTCAGCTTTGAATTTGTCTACAACTACCTGTGGCTGGCAAACCTCCGAGCAAACTGGGAAGAGGTGAAAAGAAATGCCATGATTGCCCCTCAGCCAGAAGTCAGGCGATACGTGCTTCCTCTGGATCCCTACAGGGTAAAAAACTTAATAAATGCTTAAGATTTATATTTGACCTATACTGCAAAATATGTTTTTTTTTTTCTGGCCAAAATGTATTTAATGCTAAATATATGATATGAACAGTCAGGCTAAAAAAAAAATACTTTTTTTTTTTTATATATATATTTAGTAAAATATATTTCAAAATGTATTTCGGGGAAAACAAAATACATTTCCAGTCTTACAGTAGCCTCCACTTAGTCTAAATGCAAAAGAGCCTACTAGAGATCAAAACTACCATTCTAATGATTTAGTAATGTTTCATTTTTTTATATATTTAAAAAAAAATGTTTTACTTTGTATAGTATGTTCCTTGCTGATTTTTATTAAATGTCTTTATTTAAATGTGTTCTATGTTCACATGTGTTAAAAACATAAATGCATTTAAAATGCTTTTTAAAATATGTGTCCCTGCAGCACAAAAGCAGTCTTAAGTCGCTGGGGTATATTTGTAGCAATAGCCAACAATACATTGTATGGGTCAAAATTATAGATATTTCTTTTATGCCAAAAATCATTAGGATATTAAGTAAAGATCATGTTCCATGAAGATATTTTGTACATTTCCTACCGTAAATATATCAAAACTTAATGTTTGATTAATAATATGCATTGGATCTTTAAAAAAGCATCATATGACCCCTTTAAGACTGGTTTTGTGGTCCACTTATATTATGCAAAGAAATGGCCAAAAAAGATATTGGTAGAAAGTCAGTTTATGAAAATACAGTATATTTTGAAACATTTTTGACAGTTAATTTAAATGTATTTATTTTAACATATATTTGAAAAAATATGTTTTGCTATACGTGTATGTAAGGAAAATCCTGATGCTTCAAGATTGATCTTTAACCCTGATTTCTTACAGGAGGAGCAGGGCAAGAATCTGGTGTCTCTGCCGTACACCACCACCACGGCCACAATGCGGGCTGATGGGACCATTTGGCTGGAGCCTGAGGTGCTTTTCTCTGGTCCACGACAAGGTACGACAAACTTGATATATATCCTTTATTCCCTTTGCTTTAAAATGCAGCTCAAATGAAGCCGGACGTTAAAACTTACGGTGATGTTTTGTCATACGTTTTCAATCTCAAAGCTTTCGAGTTTCCTCAGATCAACTACAAAATGAACAACAGAAAGAATTACACCTATGCCTATGCGCTGGGCCTCAACCACTTTATCCCTGACAGGGTATGAATAATCAGGGCAGCTGGTCAGTATTTCATAAGTGTTGAAGAATGCATATTTTAAGCTGTCTTTGATGAATCGTAGATTTGCAAGCTGAATGTGAGGACTAAGGAGACCTGGGTTTGGCAGGAGCCGGACTCGTACCCTTCAGAGCCGCTGTTTGTGCAGAACCCCGATGGAGTGGATGAGGATGATGGTGCGTGACATTAGCCACATTCAGAGATATTATGTGTTGTCTAGCTTGTATTTTGAGTGACACTTTATTTTGATGTTCCATAACACACATGCTACTGACTGTGAGTAACTTTGCAAGAACATGTCACCTGACCCTAACCCTACCAGTCTACTAATAATCGAATAAGAGTTAGTTGATGTTAGTAGTTGCAAAGTTACTTATAGTGAGTATAAATGTCTAATTTTTTTCAATGCTTCACTGCTTAACAGGTGTCATAATGACGATTGTGGTGTCGCCTGGAGCCCAGAGACCTACATTTTGCCTGATCTTGAATGCTAAGGACCTGTCTGAGATTGCAAGAGCAGAAGTTGACATCATGTCTCCAGTCACCTTCCATGGCATGTATAAACCATAGAACGGCTGGATCTACTGAACATAGAGTCCTCCGGTGATGATAAAGTTACTATATACTATACACCATGACACTGTAAACTAATAATAATAATAAAACTATGTTATTGCACATTTCTGATTTTCTTTAAGTTTGTTTTTTTGCAAGTGGTCTTCGCAAGTGTATAATAATTATTTTGCCATCATATCCTTGAAAGGAAAAGTTCACCCAAAAATGAAAAATTCCTGATAATGTACTCACCCTCAGGCCATTCGAGTTGTAGGTGATTTTTTTTCTTCTTCAGTAGAACAGTAAAGAAGAGTTTTAGCTGAAACTGTGATCCTTGGTGATTCAACAATGGCTACCGTCACTTTGAGAGTCAAAAACAGCATATACAGGCAACACAAAATATCTGTGGCTCCTGACTATATATATTGAGGTCTTATGAAGTGAAACGATCAGTCTGTGCAACAATTTGAACATTATTTACAACATCACTACCTGTAATGAAAATCCAACTCCATATTTAGATTTGAGAAAAAAATCAAGTAGTTAAAAGTTCAGTGACCGCTAGTGGTGGAAATGGGTACTGCAGTCCAAATTCAAAATATTGAAGAGTCGTTTTCCGCCCTCTCTCTTCCTTAGACTGGAGACTCACGCGGGTTGCCAGATTGAGGACACGCAACAGGATCTAGTGCAACTGACAGCGGAAGGCGATGAGCCTTACACTGTAATTTGGTTAGTTGATTTAGCCTACCTGCATTTTAATATTCCTCTGGTCATAGAGCGTTTCAGATGGATGCCAAGGCTTTTTTAAGTCGGGTAGAATCTGCAATCTTTGACTCACTTCGTGAATCTTCCGTGGATATAATATGCTGTGTTTTCCATAAACTGGCAACCCGGGGTGTCGAAATACTATTGGGTAAATTGGCAATGGGCGGAGTCATACAGACCAAAACAAAAAACACATTCCGACACGGAACCAGTGTTGCCAAGACCGCTGTTTTCCCGCGGAATTGGGCTACTTTAACACTGTTGCCGCAGGTTGTTTTTCATGTCCGCGGGTTGAAGCAACTCCAATAACATGATATTTATCCCCTGTAACGCGATTTTTAACCGGGGACCCCCTGGAAAGCAATTGGGCTAGTTTTGAGTAGCGATTGAGCAGGTTTTCTTGAGAAGACCTGGCAACCCTGCACGGAACACTCATTACAAAGTAGAATACATACGTCTTGGTCTCTACGTTCAACAGCAATCATATGTCACCTAAAGTAGTCACATTGAGTACTTTGTTGTTACATATTCTTAGCATGTAATGACTGCTGAACTCATGCTACAAAATAGTCAGAAGTCAGAAAAACACAGACTGCAGGAAAGCAGGTTTGACGAATCAGTGGTGTGCCGTCTGCAAGTTAGACTCATGCTCACGTGCAAACACAACCGCGGATGATTCATTTTCCACTCAAGTCGAGTCTGGGGTGTGCGATACACAGCATCGTCTGCGATAATGTGGTAAGTGTTGTTGTAATGATGTGCGATCTGACATTATCAGGTATGCTGTATCACCAGATCATACACAGAGTGCACGCACGTTGATTTATTAGTCTATTAAAACTCAAAATTCCAGGCATTCTAAATTGTAGACGGCAAAAATGCTTCTGTATACTTTTTATATTTATATAATTTAATATAGTTAACTTAATCTATATCACACAAAGAGTACCGTTTTTCTGCAGATATCAGCATGAACATATTTAATATGTTTTACGAGTTCAGTAGGCTAAAGCAATAAGTGACTTACATTTTAGACATAATATTGCTTGTTTTTGCTCAATTCTGCAAACGAATATAGTTCCAAACAAAGACACTGTTCACAGCACTGTTTTGCGTCTCTGAGCAATGGACGGTGTTTACTTATTGAATGAATCAGCTTTTTGAACGAATCGGTTTTATAAATGATTCAGTGATTCACTCATTAACACAGTCAAATGCTTTATTCCAGAATGAATCAGTTGTTTGAATGAATCGGTTGAATCTCAATGACTCACTCATTAACAGTCACTTGCTGTCACCTACTGGCGGTTTTAATTTCACATTTCGACTATTTTTTACGTTTTAAAATAATTTCAAATGACAGTATTCAACGTTTTATGTTAAAAATAAAACATTATTTATTTATCTGTAACTGCAGGTTAAATGCATCCATGTCCCCTCTGAGATAGGCCTACATTAAACTGTGTAAATACATCTAAATGCTATTTCAGATGCAGATTCCAGACATGTTTTCTTATGTTGGAATGAAAGACACTAAGTACCGGATGAAGTGCTTCTTATTCATACCCAAAAATACAAAATGGAATAAAGAGTTCAAACTATATTGCAAACAATATTGCTACTCAAGCTGTGTACATTTTATATATATACAGTATATATATATATATATACTGTACTTAAGTAATACTTAAGTACATTTAAGATTAAAAAAATACTTTTCGTACTTAAGTACAATACATATCACATACTTTAAGACTTTTACTCAAGTAATATTCTAAACGGTGACTTTAACTTCTGCCAGTCATTTTCTGGTAGGATATCTGTACTTTTACTTGAGTATGGCTTTCAGGTACTTTATACACCACTGCATTTAATTCAGTAGCAACGCAACATGTTTTAAACAGTATTGACATATACAGCCATCGATCCCTCTTCTATACCTGCTTTGTTTTCTGTAGCAGTGACTCCAATCCTGGAACTGAAGTACTCATTTTGTATGTCCTCTAATCAAACACACCTGATTCAACTCAACAGTTTGGTAGTAGAGACTCCAAGAACTGATAATGTTGTCTCAGATGAGAGACATTCAAATACACTTGTCAAAATGCACAGTCACAGACAACAGGGTAAATCAATGGTAAACAGTGTTTTTGCAAAGTTTGTTTGAAAACATGCTTTATTTTTGTGGTTATGCTAGATGACACCAGTAGAGCATGAACTGCCTACCCTAGCTTTAATGTACATAGTAAGGTCCTTTATACTACTGAAGTGCATATTGTGCAGTCTTACTGTAATGGTTGTTTTGATAAAATGTTGTATGACTGAGAGTGACCTTTTCAGATTAGAGTTAGCTCATTTATTAGTCATGGTAAGCTCTCATACTGTAAATGGCAAAATTATGGCCTCTGCCTTATGCATAACATTTAATGAAATTGCATTTTTTATTGATCTGTTTGAAGGTTAGTAATACGGCAAGCATTTTTAATAGTCATAAGTGGTTTTAAATGTTAATCATGCAGCAATGTTTCTTCATGTGTTTTCGGGGAAATAATCTTAAGGTGCAGTTGCTTGAGCACAACAAACAAATATCTCAGTAAAATTTTCACATAAAGTAAATACAATATTAGATCTAAGACAAATAATAAATACAAAAATAAATAACTTGGAGGTCTTGTTTTGTTCCACATCTAGTGTCCATTTACTAAAAATTAATTAGTTGATAAATGTCACTTGCTATCTGTACACACATATACGATACATGCACTGCATTTGAATAATATTTCTTCCAAATGCATTTAGTGAAAATAATCTCAGCATTCATGTTGAATGGACGTAACTCCAAAGTCCAGCAGAGGAAGTTTAAAATGTTACATATTTATTATGCTACATATCAGCAGTTAGTATTTGGTTATAATTGGCATTTGAAAATAAATAAATAAAATAATGGACAGACTACAACAATTAGAAATGCAGCTACAAAAGTGAATCGCATTAAGTTTAGACACTCTTTGACATTTACAAATGTTTACACTTAGACAATTAGTTTCTTTTGTCCCCATGTAACAATGGAAAGTCAGATGAAAATGCAACTGTGAGTTAATGAGAATGATTAAAGCACATGGGGTGTGAAAACTAACAACTGTGTTGCGGCTTTTCAAAATCCCAGGGGTAAAAGCTTGAGGCGTTGGGATCAGAGCCGAATAACATCTCAGCAACACTTTGCTGAACAGAATCAGACGAACTTGAGGATACCATTTTACTGAGCTCAGAACAGAAATAGTCAATTTCATCCAGGTCGGCGTTTTTCGTCACTTTTCCAGCACCTTGTTGAGCCTCTTTAGCTTCTTGGCTTTCGTTGGACACAAATGAGCCAACATCCATTGTATTAAAATCAAAAATGTTGTTTTTCATTGGGCCAAGCACTTCAGAGTCGGGAAAGCTCATTTCAGAGGTTCCCCACACCGAACTACAGTGAAATACTTGAGAGGAACCACTAGCATTTGACACTATAGAGCAAGGTTTGGATTCTCCTGAAGCATCATATCCTTCTCGGATTGGTTCAATGAGTTTTTCTTCACTACTATAAGCATAACTCTCTTCATTAGATGGGCAAGAACCAAAGGGGTAACAATCATCATGTTCGGATCCACTGAGATGATCACTTAGCACGTCACAGGACATCTGCTTCTCCTCCAGATTATTTAAATCTGTGTAAACTTGTTGAGGACTTAAGAGTTGGCATGTACTTATCATATAACCAGACTCACAGTTTTCCGTTTCCGAGTCAAATATCCCTGTATCGACGGATTCGGGGCTAAATGGATCAGGGACGTGGATTTCAGAGTTGCTCTGCTTCCTAGCTTCCAAACCTGGGCCTTGAAGATCAATGCTACATTTGGTTTTGTCAGCAGGTTCTGGACTAAAAGGAGTAGGAGTACCAACTTCATGATAACCAGAATCTAGTCTTGGAGCTTCATGACAGAACGAGTTAACAGTGTTCATTTCTTCTAAGTCAGATACGCCTTCGACCGGCTCAGCAGGTATGGGACTAAATGGGTCAAAATACTGGAGTTCAATTTTACTCATGGCCAAGCCTTCAGAGGAAGAAGGTTTGTGTGGTGAACTGCTAGATTCAGGGCTGAGTTGTTTATTGGCATAAAACTGGTCAGTAGCTGATGTTTCTGTGTTACTAAACAGACAAAAGACGTCTTGAGCTGTAGAATTTGGTGGATTGCTTTCCGTGTCCAGGATGGGTGAAACCGTCCATTGGTCATTCCACTCTGAATCAAGCACACTTTGGCAAGCATTTGAATCATTAAATGTAAGACATGGGATATCTAAAACCACCTTTTCAGAATCA